TTTTCCGTAGGCCTTGTGTCCCAGTCGGAGGTCAGTTTTGCGTAGGACCATGACATCTATGAATGGACGTTGGCCCTCTATTTCTCACCGTGGCTCCAAACTGCAAAGGTGTCATCCATATATCGGAACCAGACTGTGAGTGCGAGGGGTGCTGAAGCCAGGCCAAATTTTTCGAAATGCTCCATGTAGATGTTTGCTATAACAGGTCTGAGCGGGCTCCCCATGGCCACTCCATCTGTCTGTTCATAGAATTCATTATCCCACTGGAAATAGCTGGTTGTTAGGCAGTGTTAGAAGAGGGCCTTGATGTATTCTGGAAAGATCTGCTAGATGAGTGTCAGGGTGTCCTTTATCGGTACCTTAGTGAACAGGGATACTACATCAAAGCTGGTCAGTCTGTCCCCAGAGTTGAGTTTTAGGGTGCTGATCTTGCTTATGAAATGTCCTGAGTCTTTGATATAGGACGTGGGTCTGTAGGAGGGTCACTAGGTGTTTGGCTAATTCATATGTTGGGGAGCTGATGGTACTTACAATAGGCCTGAGTGGGATTGAGTTCTTGTGGATTTTGGGGAGTCCATATAGTCTTGGTGGGAGAGCTTCTGTCTTGCAGATTCGTTAAAGGACGTTGGGGTGCAGGGAGGAACTCCTGATCAGTATGTTCTTTTTGTGATTTTGTTGGTTGGGTCCCGTTTCAGTTTTCTGTACGTGGTGGGGTCTAGAAGGTCTCTGATTTTGTCCTTGTATTCTCTCCTCTTTCCATGATTACTGTGGCGTTGCTGGCAGGATGACGATGTCCGGGTCTGAGTTCAGGGACTTGATGGCATTTCTCTCCTTTCGCCAAACACTGGCAAAACGTTAGGAAGAACAACCTTCAGAACACGGCCAAAGAGCCCGAAAAACCCACAACAACCATTAGATCCTGGCTGTGAAAGCCTTCGTGAATACAGTTTGAGGAAATGTTTCTAAACAACCTTCCATGATTATTATTTTTTTAAAGTATTAATTCTATAATTGAAAGCTTCTCTTGTGAGCTCTTTGCAGCAAAGAGTAGTTTTGTTTTTTTATTGTTGTATATATATAAAATGGGGAAAAGGCAATATTAGCACACAAGCACATATAAAGAGGGGGATAAATACTCTGTCCAGATTAATTCCAATACAATTTCTGTGTCACAAAAAACGCCTTGAGATCCAGTGTGGTATAAGTGGATAAATTGACTGACTAGATGCAAAAGACTAGGATTCAAATCCCTGTTAACCCTCAGGAACTCACTGGAGACTGGCACTAGTAAAACCACTCCTCAAATACCTCATATTCCTTGAAAATCCTATCAGGGCCACCTAAAATCAGATGTGACATGATGGCAGATAATAACAAAAACAGCCTTGGAAAAACATGAATGTGATATTGACCTCAGAAGAAAGAACACAGATGAGAAAGGATTTGTTGTGTGTCAATATTTTAAGTCTAGGTTTAGTATTTGCCAAGAAAAAAAGCCTGCATTTTAGAGCAGTTAAATGTATAACGTAAAATCTGAAGAAGAAAAATAACACCAAGGCAAGTCTGCAAAACTGAGGTGGCTTCCTCTTTCATAATGTTTGCAAGAATAAGGCCTGAGCTCAGCAAAGTATGATTGGCAGTAGTTTCCTTAAGCACCATTAGTGAGGCATACTTGGAATTATCAGACATATGGCAATGCTGGCAAATGCAGCCTCTTGTGTGTAAACAAAGATATTAATTTAACTCTGCTTACCAGACCAAGCAAATGGTGATCTAAGCTAAGAATTTAAATTAAATAAACAAAAAAAAGAGTGGCAAACAGCAGGAAAACCAAGACACAAAAGACACCTAAGTTTTTTTATACAAAACTGGATTGTTTGTGGGATCACTTGCATGAAGAACAATTTAGTTCACAGGATTGGCACGCAAACACTTACAGTCTAATACCTACGGCATGTTACTAGTTGCTGAGTTTGTTACAGATACTTTGATGAGCTAGCGAATATTCCCAGCCTAACACACACACCCCAATAAAAACCATCTCTATGCATGTCCCAAATGTCCTCCTGGAGCAAGCCATTATCTACCAATGTTAAGAGCTACTTTGTATACTGGTTGGTCCATGAGAAATACAGTGATTTTTATTATTTCAAAAAATTCTTTGTGAGAGTGAGTGCTTGGTAAGAAATGCTTTTACAATCTCCCAATTCTTTAGACTTTCATTTTGGCAGGGTTTGATGTTCACGATCGGTAAGTATCCATAAAACTTCTCATGAATGTTGCTAATTTCTCAACATCTTCCACAGTCACAGCATTATACAAAGAAGCACGAATTCCTCCCACAGACCTGAAACATGGGGAAAATACAAAGAAACAGGTAAACGTAACAGGGTCATTCACAGTTTTTCTCATGTACTGCATCTCTTTATACTAATAAGGGGCATGCCCCTTTAGGCTGGAGCAACACATAATTTCTAAAGATACCCGTTTAGCTTTCAAGAGGCATGTGAACAGAAAAGCAGCCTCCTGAGGAAAGCTGTCAATAGTGCTGGATGAGAAAGACACAACTGTGCAAGAAGTAATACAAGTGGAAGATCTGCACACAAGGACTAGCCATCGGATGAAAGCTTCATTTTTTACTAGCTCAAACCTGTTTCAGAAATTGGAATTCTTTTCGTTTTGACCACAATTTCCAGAAGGACAGGTTGCAAATGGTAACTGTGGTTCTTCAAGTGGGCATCTGTCAATGTACAGTGGTACCTTGACTTACTAACGTCTCCACTTGCGAACGTTTCGAGTTACGAACGGCTCCGTTCGCAAAACGTTGCTTCGACTTGCGAACGGTGCCTCGACCTCCAAACGAAAAAAAGGCAGGGGAAAAGGGCAGGAAATTCAAATTTCCCCTGCCTCTTTTTCATTCAAACCATTGGTGGTGAAGAGGACTGCTCTTTCGCCCCAACGGTTAGGAAAAGGGACCCCCAGGAGGTCTCCGATGGCAGCGGAGGACCCCGGGGCCGCCCCCCCGCCCCCCCCCGCCACTGCGATCGGTGCTTTCTGACTCCCAGGATGTCTCTGATAGCATCGGGGCGGGCTTCCCCACCACCATCGGAGACCTTCCGGGGATCTGAAGGCGCCAATCGCAGTGGTGGGGGACCCCCAGGAGGTCTCCGATGGCAGCGGGGAGGCCCTGGGAAACCTCTCAGGGGTTCCCCGCTGCCATGATTAGAGGCAGCAGTCACCCATCACCGGGAGGCTTGAGCTGGCCAGGCACTTGACCATTCGCCCCTGGCAACGGCAGAGGCAGCAGAGTGCCAGGAGGCTGAGGAGACTTCGGACGGGTAAGGTGCTCCTTTTTCCTTTTTAAAAAAACTGTTCTGGGTGGGTTTTGGAGGGTGAGTTTGGACTGGGGGGGTTATGTTTCTGTGCTGTGTTGTTTTGTTTTTGGATTATTATTTTTTTGCAGTCCCAGCGTGGGATTTGCTCTGTTTATTTTGTATTATTTTTATATTATTGGTTTTTGGTTTTTTTGTTTTTCTTTTGTTTGTTTGTTTTTTTGTTTGTTTGTTTTTTTGAAATGCTGGAATGGATTAATCCCGTTCCAATGCATTTCAATGGGAAATGGTGCCTCAGCTTACGAACATTTTGACTTACGAATGCCAGTCCAATACGGATTAAGTTCATAAGTCGAGGTACCACTGTACACATACAGGCTTTACTTTTTCAAGTGCCTTTTTCCTGAAATATCACTTTGCAAATGTATTATCTCCTCAACAGGAAAAATATTCTACTACTCTGAAACTGATGCTCAGCAACAGGTCCAAGGAGGACCATTACAAGACAAGAAGAAAGTTCAACTCTAACAGTGTACAAATTGGAATGACCAAGGTGTTGTTTTTCCTGAGAATTGTTTAGAAACAGAGCTTTTTATTAGATACATTTGTATATTAATGTTTGAGTCAGGAGGTGGTGATTTTCAGAAACATTTGGAATAAACACTGAAAATTCTAAGCTTAGTGGTTGCCAGGCTGCCTTATTCTGAACAGATTTCGCTCGCCTGCCTTTCTGCTTGTATCACCCTTCATGTGACCAAGTGTAAGATTTCGTATGTACTCTGTGGCTCACAACTAAATGCATTTGGCTATGTCATTCTGAGTCCACTGGCTTGGGTCACTCTGGGAAGGAGGAAAAAGGTATAAGTAGTAAAAAAATAGATATGACATTGAGGCAATCACATATTTGAGAACCTATGGCAGTACTTACCTCCATACCTCAATATTTATTTTGTAACAAAGAACAGGAATGTCAGGTTCAAGGACCTTAATTCATGACTGATTCAGGACTTTCTAACCCTGTAATCTGAAGCTCAAAGGAAAGTTCGTCACAGCTTGGAAGGAGTGCTGGCCAAGCACATCTTGCCCTCCAGAACTGCACCATTAACTACCATTTAAAAAAAAAAAAGTTCAGCATGCCTCCTACAACCTTGGGAAGCACAAGAGCAATTTAACACATTCTCCACCAAGATGTTTTAGGATTAAGTGAGGAGGCTTTCTTTCAAAAATGGAAGTCACTTCCAGTTTTGAAGAAGGCTCGCCTGTGTCTTGAAAAGTTCAGGAGCAGACCAAAAAGAAAAAGGGGGGGGGAAAGGAGAGTGAAATTGCTCTGCGTGGCCAACAGAGGGCACAAAGAGGCTTCTTCAACAGATAAAATACTGTATAAAGGAAACTATTGGAAGACAGAGGTTGAAGTGATCCTATGTCCTGGGGTGGCTTCATGTGGTTCAGGAACTTGTAGGATTTGTTCACTCTGGTTTATAAAAAGTAATTTTTAAAAAAGTGCACATTCTTGAATGAAGAGGATTTTTCAGAAATAACTGAAATGGACAAACATTCAGCACAGTTCTAATAAGAAGGCCTTTTTTTCACATTTTATCCTGGAAAATGAAGATATTTATTAATTTATACCACTTTTCTTCTGTATGACTGGTACTGCTCTTCCTCTCATATTGTACAGTGGCCTTAATTTCTTCATGGGCTTTTCTCTTACCTGTGGCCTTTCAGAGATATCATGTTGTTTTCTACAGCTTTATCAAGGAATTTCTTTTCTAGGGCCTCATCGCCCTTAATACTGCCGATCCGGAAAGGAATGTTCATTCTGCTTCGGTTCTTTCTTTCCACAGGGCATCTGGAAATGTCATGAAAGTATGCTTTGTTATTAAAGTTTTATTTTTATTGTTACATATTCAGTACATATTAATAAAACACATAATGCTTCTAAGTGACATGTTGTTGGTTCAACCACTTCCCTGCTTTCCCCAACCTGGTACCTTCCATAAAATTATTTCTTTAATCCTCATGACCCCTCAACTTTAGCCATCATAGCAGCGGTTAATGGGAGTCATAGTCCCCCCAAAATAGAGAGGTTACTTACCTGTAACTCTAGTTCTCTGAGTGGACCTCTGTGAATTCACACAATATGGTTCAGTCTGCACTTTCGCTGGACTCCTCAAAATATTCTAGAGCTTGTAAAAGTAACACTGAATGAACGTTGCCCCATAGCACATGCTCCGCTAACCTCAACCCTCAGTTCCGTTTTATCCTCCACTAGCAAAGCTCTGAACAGCAAGAGCTAAGAAGAGTGACGGATAATGGGGAGGTTGGGCTGGATGTGTGAATTCACAGAGGTCCACTCGAAGAACTAGAGTTACAGGTAAGTAACCTCTCTTTCTTCTTCGTGGCCTCTGTGAATGCACACAATAGGGTGACTAGCAAGCTCACTTACCAGATGGAGGGCCGTCATGACAGCAATGAGGTCAAAACAGCTCTCCTAAAACTGGCCTCTTTCTTCGCCCTGTATAAGTAAGGGAGATCAGCTCGGAGGGCAGCTAACTCACTAGCTCTCCTTGCTGATGTGATAGCTACCAAAAACGTTTTGAACGACAGGAGACGGATGTCAGCAGAAGCATAGATTCAAACGGCTGACGTGTCAAAGCATGTAGAACAAGTTGTAGCGACCATTGTGGTAACGGAGGTCTAACAGGAGGCTGAATGTTATGAAGTGACTTGGCCATCTAGGATATCATCCGGACATATGAAGAATAATCCTCAGAAGGAGAGGAAGGATGAAGGTCAGCAGCGTCTGATTCAGGAGTGCATCCATCAATGGGACAGTCCTCTGAAACCTCAGAAAAGGCGTCCTGCTCTATGATGGAGTCAGTGGACGAGATGGGGTCATCTTGAAAAGAAGGTGATGGAGATGCAGGTGCCAGCCTCGCTTTATGAGGTTGTTTGCTCGCTGCATGTGAAGTAGCCTCATGGATAGCCTGTGGTTTAGCCTGAGATCGAGAAGCTAGTTCCGAAGCGGTAGTAATTTTTTTTTCCTGAGTAGATTTATGGTGGGAACAAGTTTCAGAGGAGTCCTGATGTTTAGCTGACTTGGACATCGAAGGGTCAGGTGCATAAACCACTCAATGTCGATGCCTTGGTGGAGATGGTGAGGATGAAGAGGACGAGGCATAGAGATATTGAAGTGTCTTCTTCTTGCAGTATTCTTCAATCTCTGTAAGGGAGTCAGAGTCATAATCCTCCTCTCGACGTCGACAGCAGCCCGTTCTTCGTTCAACCTCAATATATATGGGGTCATTTCTGTTAGATTTGGCTCGATGTCGAGAAGAACTAGGTAGGACAACAACCTGTCAATGAGAGTGGCAACGTCGAGCTGGAGAGATGTGTTTTCTCTTGGAGGTTCTTTTTCGGGGTGGAGAGTCCCGAGCTGACGAATCCGAAAGACTCAGCTCTATGATCGATGCCTGCCCGTTAGAAACAGAGCTAGAAGGGGCAGAAGCCTTGCTAGACGGCGGAACATCATCTAGTTGGCTAGGGCTAGGCGAATGGCTTGGCGCTGGTGCCAGAGCCTGAGCCTACCAAGGTGGAAGCGACCCACCATCCTCCAAGAGAGACTTCTGGTCTTGAGAGGAGTCTTCCAGTATAGGAGACGGAAGCGATGCCGATATTGGGGGTATTTTGCTGGGTCAACCATACTTTTTTGAGTGTTTGTCTTTTTTAGTCTTAACGAAAGCTTTCTTCCTTTTCAGAGCCTCAGACAATGTTGTCTTAGAAGCCATGGACGACGTTGTGATGGATGATTTCTTCGACATCGAGGACGTGGACTTTTCTGCCATCTTCTCGGCAGGCTTCGAAGTTGGTAAGGTGGGGAGGACTTAGTCCCTCAACCCAATGAGTAGCTGAAGGGTCGGGGGAAGTCTCCATGGCACTAGGTTTCAAGGCAGAAAGGGTTTTATTCCAGAGGAAAAGCTTTAATCTTTGTTGTCAGGCTTTTAAGGTGGGGTGGGTAAATTTCTTACACTCCCTACAAGATTGGGTTTGATGTCCTTCCCCCAGACAGAAGAGGCAGTGCTCGTGGCCGTCTGAGAACAGCAGCTTATGAGTACACGAGATGCACCTTCTAAAAGGACTCGACAGGGACATAAATTATGAGATATTTAGGAAAAAGGACTCACAAAGAGGGAAGGTCTGAAACAGTCCAAGTCGGTAATGAGCAAGCACAGGAAAAAAACAAGTCCAAATCACAGAAGCCGATCAATACCAGAAAACAGTCCGAGTTCCGTAACAAATAGATCCAGGAAAACTGTCCATAGTCAAAGCCAAGAATAGGATAAGCGAAAAAATAAGATAGCTCTAAACGAGAAGTTCCAAGCACTAAGACAGTAAAATGGAACTGAGGGTTGAGGCGGGTGGAGCATGCGCTATAGGGGCAACATTCATTCAATGTTACTTTTTCAAGCTCACGAAGAAGAACTGGAGTGTAACTGGGTAATAAAGACTGCCCCACATTATTTTAAGTATATTATATGTGAAAGATAATTGGATGTTACATGAAAAGACAATGAAATATGAACTATGATTAGAAGCAATACATAATAGCATAACCCTCTATTCCAAAGCAACTAATTCATGAGAACAAAGAGGTTCTTCCATGTTTTACAATTTGTTTATTACAGGCTGGATCCAGATTCAGTTATATTTAGACCAAACTGATAGAAATCAATGTGAGTCTGGAGTCCAAATAATTCCAATGAGTCTACTACAAACATGACTATCTGGAACTGGCCAAATGTCAACCAATACACTTTAGATAAGAAGAGCTTCTCAAGGACCAACTCTACATGCAAAATATCACATAGTACAGAACTTCAGACAGCAGACTACTTTCCTGCATAACGTAAAAAGCTCATTTCACAAGGAAATCTAGTCATTCAGAAAGAAGATTAGGTTTCACTTCCTTCCTACAGGCTGGGAATTTTGAAGTACCTTAGTGTGGTACCTGAACTAAGCAATTATCATGTGAATTCACATGGAGGAACACCAAGCACACCACTGATCTTAAACATATTAAGTGCACACATAGATTTATCCTAAGAAAAGCAGGAAGAATGAGTAAAAACTAGATTTCAAATTTTTAAACATTCTATTGAAATTCAGAGCTTAAAAATTGAGTTCAAAAACCCTGATCCTGCAATAAGAAAAAAAATGTTACAAAAGCAACCTGTCTTATGTCAGGGAAGAAAAAACACCCTTTAGTCAGCTTAGCAAAAGTCGTGGAGGAGCAGACTTAAGACCTATCCATTCCAGCATCCAGCTCTCCAGAGTGATCCTGGGAAGATCATAATTACCAGACAGCATCAAAAGTCCTCTTCTGTTTTTGTTGCTTAACAACTGATACTCACAAGTATGCTGCTTTTCATACTAGAGGTAATGTATGCTGACATGGCTGGGCAGTTACAGTTAACTACAAGCATGACTGCTCTAGCAAGGACAGTTCCCTTCAGTCAAAATCTCATAAAAGACACCCAAAGCATATGCTCTCAAGGGTACATATGGCTAGGATCCTATTGGGATTTTATTCTGGAATAAATTAAATTGCATGAATTGTGAGGGCAAATTGCAGCTAATTAATGAAGTGCCAATCGCATACAGTGGAACCTCTAGACCCCCCCGGGGGTCCCCTACCGCCACGATCACCACCTTCGGAGGCCTCCCAGGGCTTCCTCACCCCAACGTAGGCTTTCCCGGGGTAGACCGGGCGTGCCAGGGGAAGCTCTGGTAGAAAAGGGCTTCCCCTGGTAGGCCTGGGAAAGCCTGCATCACGGTGAGGAAGCCCTGGGAGGCCTCCGAAGGTGGCGTGGCAGCGGGAGACCCCAGCGGGAGATCCCTCCGATGGCGGCAATCGCAGCGGTGGGGGAATCCTGGGAGGCCTCCAAAGGCGGCGATTGCAGCAGCAGGGGACCCCCAGGAGGTCTCCGATGGCGGCGATCGCAGCAGTGGGAGACCCCCGGGAGGCTTCCGAAGGCAGCGATCGCGGTAGCGGGGGACCCCCAGGAAGCTGAGCCTCCCTTTTCCTAACCATTGGGGCAAAAGCCTCTTTGCCATGAATAGTTGGCAAATTTAAATTTCCTGCCCTTCCCCTCTTGAAGCTCTGTTCACAAGTAGAAGCAAAATTTTGCGAATGGAGATGTACATAAATTGGATTGTTCGTAGACAGGGATGTTTGTAAGTAGAGGTTCCACTGTACTTAGCTCCATGGCAGTCATGAGACAGGAGTGTGACCAAACACAAAAACCAACATTTTCTTAATTTATTACAAACTGCTGCCATTATTTATGTGAATTCACTTACTCTAGAATAAAACCCCAACAGGATTCTGGATTAAGTTTTTCTCCTTGCCTCCTCCAAATGTAAGCCCCTTAGACTGGTCCAAAAGACAGGCCAGGTTATACCATTATCCAGACCCTAATCCCTCCCAAAGGTAAATTTTAATTTTGCAGATAAGGAAAGCTAAAATAGTACTCACAACTGAGTTTTCCTGAAACAGAAGAGGAAGTGGTGGTTAGGAATGGCAGTGACTGGATCACTGAGCAAGTGAGGATCTAGGTACCCTCTGTTGTAGTAATTGTTTATCTCCCAGTGACCAATCACAAAGTGAAACAGGTATAATGGTTGTTCTGGGTTTTTCGGGC